TACAGACTTGGACGGGTGCCAGAACTGAAAGGACCAAGGACGCGTCTTCCCTTTGCCGGGCATCGCCAATACTTTCATGAAGCTCTGGCGGGATGTACCTCTGGTCTGGGTAGAGCCGAAGGCTCAGCATTTGATGTTGAAGCTCTTCAGTGGAGGAATCCCCTGATGCCCGAAATCTCACCCACAAGTCATCGACCTCCTCCAATGTGAGGCTCCGCGCCGCTTCGCCAAAGGCCGAAGGCCCCACACCGTTGGCCATCGCCACCAAGAGAGCCCGATCGACTGACATGAAACGCCGCCACGCAGGTGTGGCTGCTATGACCCGACCACGCCAGAAAAGCACGGCAGGTGGTCGAGGTGGTTGGGCAGATTCGGCGAATTCGTGTAGATGCTCAGGCGAAAAATGCGCTAAAAGCTCCTCCAGGGCGTGCTCACCAAGACTGCTGCAATTGAGCGGCAACCATTCCACTGCAGCACCTGAAAGTCGAAGACCTAAAGGAGGAGGCCACATGATTTGAGGCACGTGGTCTGAGAAGAAGCCGTATCCCAACGGTTCGTCTGCCGACTCCTCCTCATCTGCCATGAGCTGAGACACCATGGGTGTCAGTCGTTCAAGCAAGATGCGGCGAACAGCCTCCGCCTGAGTTTGCCCTGTGGCTGCCTTGTGCAACTCGTTGCCCAGAATCAGCCGGGCTCCTTGGTAAAGGGCATCCAGCCGTCGAGACGCACGAGCTTGTAGATCTGATGTCTTCCCAGCCGCGAGCTCTGATGTCACCATGGCCAACCCAAGGCGTGCCCCTTGATCCCCATGCACTTCCAATGCAATTATCGCATCATCTGCACGGAGGATGCTAGGAACAAAGCCCTGCTCCAAGCTGGCAGTGATCAAAGCATGGAACAAGGCGCTTGATGCAAAGGACACATCTGGATAATTCTTTGAAGCTTGGAATATTGGTCTGCCGGAATCATTCGTGATCTGGATGAAGTAGCCCATCTTAAAACTTCATGATGCCATAGCATCCGTGCAAGGAATGAACGAATTCTGAATTCCACTCTTACTCTGAGTCGAATGTTCTTGCAAACACGGGTGCTATGCATGGTTTATTTCAGGACTGTCTGGAAGGAAGCTTCGATTACAAATAGACACGAATTACACAAATGGTATACTCGGTATGACTCTTATCGTTCCTCTTGGGCCACGGGTCTAAATTTCTTCCGAAATGAAATGCCTTCAACCAGACTAAGGCATGACTAAATGCAGCATGCATATTAATCTGCTGCCAGGGCGTACACTGCTTTGAACATGAGAGAACAAGAAGTTGGCTCTCGCACTACGGCCTCCTCACAGGCCTTGAGCCAAAAATTTGAGCCCCAAAACAGCCAAAAACCCTCAGATACCATCAGATACGGGTTGGTTTAAAGATGAAGGCCAAAGCAAGGCCAATAGCAAGGCCTCATTCTTCTGAAAATCTTCAACTTGACCCAGCAGCTCTTCCGGCCCCCCAAACAACGCCCACCGTTTTTCCATCCACCGAGAGCTGCACGGTCCGTCCGTCCCTCGTGGAGCGCCAGCCCTCCTCGAAGGCTCTCTGAGAGGTCCGGAGCAACCGCTCGAAGCGACTGGACACCGAGACTTCCACGGTCGTGGTCACCGCGTCATCGTCGTCACCGGGAAAGGTGATGCCCACTGCTTGAAGAAAGAGATTGCCACCTCCCCGCACGTGGTAGGGTGGCAAGGCACTCCCAGTCCGTCGTTGCCAAGCTTCTGCAGCCGCCTGAAAGAGCGGACGCTCCTCGTTGACGATGGGTGCTCCCAAGAGAAGCGCGCAGTGCTGGCGGAGTTGATGGTGGCGTCCGGTCACCGGAATGAGCTTCAACTCGGATAAAAAGTCAAAGTGGGGACACCTCACGACGCTGAGAACTTGGATCTCTGTCGTTGCATCTGCGCCCTCCACGGGTGCTGAGATGCTCCAGTGGCTTCCGGGCTCCCCCACACGTCCGCAAACCTGAACCGACACTTGCGGTCATACGTGTGCAACGCACCGCTGTTAGCGGCAATGTGCGGTGTTTGAGAGATTTCTAACTGGACCAATGCGAGCGGCAATGGCGCGGTACTCTTTCTTCACCTTGCGATGCTCGAAGGATGCCTTCAGCCTTCCTTAACACAAGGACACGGGGTCTGATAAACCTTTAAAGTAGAATTTCAATTCGTCACAACTGTAGCAAATCGCTCATTGCAAAGCCCATTGCACGCCATGCAATCTGAAACATCAATTCTATGCTAAGAGGCGCATGGTCTCCTCGGCCGTGGCCACCAGTACGGGCCCACAAACGCGAAAGTCCAGTCGATGGCAAACACGGGGACAACGACCTCGGCGATTCGACGACGGCGACCCTTCGGTGACGATGGGAATCACTGGAGGCGTTTGGACGGCCAAGACATGCACGTTCGAATGTGGAGAGGAGGTAGTTAGTCACATGGTCCCACATATTCCTATAATCACTATGCGGTGTATTTATGTGTATATATATATATATAATGTGTCATTACACAATTGAACATTTTTCAAGCATAGATACACATAGTGCAATGATATGCAATCAGCAACTGCATAAGCTAAAGCAGCATGTCGACCCTTTGCTTAGCTAGGCACAGTGTGTCCCAGTCAAAGGGGGCTCGACCAACGCGGGAAGGTATCCTTCCAGCGTCACAAGCCCAGTGTTGAAACCACAGGGCTTGCAGTGCATCCCACAGGGCTTGTTCACCTTGGATGCGCGACTGTGATGTGTGCAGTTCCCAAAAGCGCAATTTGGAGATACATAGCATCTGATGTCTTAGGGCAGCCAAGAACACACGTAGCATAAATATCTCCAGGACGCGACGGCCCAGCCAGCAACGGGATCTGATTGAATTAGATATATTCCTGGCAGAGATGTGGACTACGAAGCCGAGCAAAAGAGTGCTCGCTCTGTTCTCAACACCAATTTGAAAGCGACTGCTTCTGGCAATGCCGAGGTGCGGGCTTCTGGCCTCTCCGACTTGCTGTTCCACGCCTGCAGCAATCCTGTGCACCCCACACGAGTGGACAAAATGTTGCGTGGAACGAGTCTCCCACCTTCGACCTGTGGCAGGATGCTGTCCACTGCTCCGAGGTGGGCCAACAATATGCTACCTGAATGGAAGTATTCATGGCCAAGAACATGCAAGAACTGTGCGTCTTGCACAAGCTAGATTCCGAGAGCTTCCGGTATTGCATACAAAAAATGCACAATCGGGCACTTGTACGCAGCTAGTGTAATGTTAATAAATGATGACAACACTGAATGGCAAGCCTGGAGATCTGCTGGGATCTGCTTGGGGTGATCATTTGGCTGTGGGTCTCGACCACAGGAGACCGACCGGTTGACCTACCGTTGGTCGTGCTCACCCGGCCTGGGACCGGAGCCAACGCATCGTGCTGCTTCTTCACAACGCCATCCACCAGCACGCGCCCCTGGCGGAGCGCCTTCCGCGCCGCGTTGAGAGTGGGCAGCGCCGGAAAAGCCACTGCCACCACGTGGTGTAGAAAAACCACCTCCTCTCGCTGGAAAGCGATCTTCGCCTGAGGGTCTCTGTCAGGGTTGTCAATCGAAACCCCTCCGGAAAAATCTGGAAAATGATGTGCTGAGGGAATTCAACATGCTCTGAAAATCGACTTTAAGAGTAACACGTTTGAGTGACCCAACGACCAACCCCCCTGCAGCCATAGCCTTTTCTCGCAGCTCTTCGGTCATCATCACGCTGACTTGCGACCCTTGCAGTGCTTGCCATGCTTCCAGTGGTGTCACTCCTGCAAGAGGTCCACCTCTCTCAAGTTTCCAATTTTTCTCAAGTCTTTAGATTAGATTTGCAGGGTGGGCATCACATCACCATGCATGCATGCACCCCATGGCGTATCATGGCGTCCTAAAAGGAGCTGAATGAAATAACACATTAATAACATCCCCGTTTCACGGACATGTTTGTTTGACAATTGGTCTCCACGGCCTGTTTCTGTGGCTGATCGTATCGCTCCAGCCATCGATTGGCTGACTCAGTCATTCTCATTCCATGGCACCAGGTGCCCACTGCAGCTGTTGATGTGATATGAGTTGAAACATTTTGGATGTTTGCACCCATCAAACTCATCCGGTGGGATGTGAGACGATGTTGGGAAGATTTGGGAAGTGTTCGAAGGTCTGATTCTTGCACACACTTAAAATCCGGAGAGAAAACAAGTGGTCAGGCTGATGTCAGGCTGATGGCGGCTCCTACGCTTCTTGTTCCGGCAAAATGCAAAACGTCTTGCCCATTGCGCCAACGCACAAACATCACGGGGCGGAATGGGACGACATTCCAAGAATCCCAAGTGGCAGCATGTGTCTATATCTGTTTCCCTTTCTATTGCCAACGGCCGGTTGATATCGACTCTCCAATCTCATCTCTTGTCGTGTGTATACGCCAGATATATCAATATCATTCAATATCACATCCTAAGATAATCTAAGATATACATCTATAGAGTGCTCAAACCTTAGCGTCTTAATTGATTACCTTTGACCTTCAACTTCACCATTTAAAGCGCTTGCTTTCTGTCCCTCCACCCAAGCGGCATCAGGGAGTCTCTCTCTTCATGTCTCGGACATGGCGCTGCGTGGTGCGCAGCGCCGCGCGCCGCGCAGTGCCGCGCAGCGCCCGGCTGCTGGGTGACACGCCTTGCTGGTTGGTCTCCCAGCGCGTTCGTCACACCAAGATGGGCCTCACGCCTCCCGTGGAATTTCCATGTAGCTGATCCAAGGCCTAGAGCCCAACAGGAAGAGATGTCGTTTCTCGTGGGTCAAGGGACCAACACAAAGCACGCTTTGCAATCTCCCAAGCTGATGTCAAGCTGTCTTGAAAAGCGTCTCGTTGTGGGATGTCTCTATATCCGACTCTATCCGTGCGTCGCATCTCTCGTCGCATCTCTCGTCGTGTGCTTATGTCACCATCTTTGTTGGTCGTAAGACTTCTTAAGACCCAAAGTGGCGACGTGGATTGGTCCTGACCAAGCGTCTTTCATGTCCTCATCGGTCAGCTGGAATCTGAAGACATCAGCATCCTGCGCCTGAACGTCGTGCAAAAGGACGGCGTTGCAAAAGCCCGGCCTTTTCGACAGACCTGATGTTCCGCAGAACTGGACTGGAAGGTGATGACGTTGTCATGTTGCAGGATCCACTTCAAAGCAACCTTGGCGAATGCTCTTGCGGCCAAACTCCACCCTAAACCCTAAAACTCCTTGAGTTGAGCAAACTCCGAACGTGGTTGCCAAATCTGTCGACGAGCATCTTGGTAGGTGCTGACACTGTGTTTCGCAGCAATGGACTTGATCACTTGGTTGTCACCTCAAAAAGGCTGCGGCTTCGCATCCAGACTCCGCTGACGAATCAAGAATCAAGATGAATCGAGAGATGGCTCGGCTTTTTGGATGGAAAAAACTGGTGTAGGCGTGAATCAAGACCACCCTCCTGAATCTCCTTGCTCTTTCATTTTCATGATTCTGGAGGGGTCAATCCATGTCTGGGTTTCAACTCGCATCCATTTGCAATGGCAAGGTGCGGATATCACCTGAATGCCCACTGCGACCAACTGGTGAGTAGGCCTCGACTGTGATGTTCAGCTGCTTAGAGCGCTCCAGCGCCTGGCGAAGCCGTGTGTGGCGCGCGCTGGAGGGCGCTTCCAGAGAAAGCCTCATTCCAAAAGCATCCCTAGGAGCCATGTGTGACACGCCAGTTTTGAGGCCAAATGCATCCTAAAAAGTATCGGAAATGCCTCAGGTAGGACCTAAGTTATGCAAATTCCTCCTTGCAGGACCCTCCAGGAAACATATTACCACCACCATCAACAAACGCCACTCCTCCGCATCGTACTCCAGTACGTTCAACTCAATCTGATTCACCTTAGGCTTCAAAGGGGCAATCAGTCAACTTGACAACGTTGCTGATGCCTTCAAACGGCACACTTAGGAACTGGCAGCTGGGGTGACTTTGGCCGTCTTCATCAAGGTATCCTGGAATATGTCGCGGCTCGACTTCGGACTGGCTGTGATTCTTGCCAGCTGGCTAAGAGCCTTTGCCAAAGCATCAAGAATCACGTGACCAAGGACATGATTCAACAAGACGATAGTCGTTGGGGGTGGCCTATCACCTCTTTCGAAGTCGAGAACTGCATGTCGACATGGTTATTACATATGATGACATGGTACAACCTGATTACTTCGGGGTGGGCCCAATCGTTTGGTTCCGGCATGTTGGCATGTTCCAGCCAACTTTTGTAGCTCACGCCGCACTTTACTATCTTTACTAAATTGGTCATGGCGGGTGTTGGGAGTTGCTCATCATGCTCATTAGAGTCAAGATCGGCAAACAGTTGACTCGACTGGCGCGCTGGCCCGAACTCAGGACTTGGGTACATGATTGAGGTATGGGAACATGACTCACGTATGGAAACACCTTCATACAAGTTCAAGTGTCAGCACACATATTAACATCTATCATATATATATATATAGCCCGTACCACAAAGATTTAAAAAAAATAGATAAATAAATATTCGGGAACTATTTCAGGCAACAAATACATTTTTTTTGCATTTTTTGGGGTTCCCGGAGAGCATGACAAACTAGCTCAGAGCTCTCCGGAGGCAAGTTCTTGGATTTTTGCACCAAATCTTCCGTCCCGGGAGCAACTCTTGCAACGTGAACATTTTGGTCTTGACCGAGAAAAAAGTGAAAAAAAGAAAAACAGACTCGAGTGTGTTGTATTTTGGGATGCCTTATTGTCGAGTCATCAAGTAAGTTCAGAAAAAGTCAAATAGAACATATAAATGGAGATCAAATAAAAGATATTGCGTAATTAGAAGATCACATAAGCGATCCACCACGAAAACCCACAATAAAATAGAAGATATATGCGTTTGAGCAGAAAGTCCACAATGCCAAAGTAGCTCAAAAGACTCAACAGTTGATCGTTTTGATCCAATAACGAATAATATCTTCTATTTGAATCTGTGTGAATTGTTTGCCGGGCACCTTCCCGGATACGTCTCAAACAGAGCTGCAATTTCTTTTAATTGACGTAAAGATATAATATATTTTATATGAGAGACGGTCAAAACTCCTTATTCTTCTTCAACTTAAAAATGGACGTCATCGGTGTTGAATTGGTTTTGAATTGGACCTTATCGTTTTACAGTCACATACTTATGATAACTTATGATCATATACAGCGCTAGGGTAATCGGTTTTCACGTGGACCTTATCGTTTTGCAGGGTTTTGTGCACAAACCTACCCCTCTTTACTAAAGTGGTCTTCGCATGTTTAGACCGTAGCTCATATATATATATATATAGTGATATATATATATTATATCATCAGCGATTTCACAACATACTCTTTCGATTTCACAGCATGGTCGTTTTCGTGGCCAAACTTTCAAATCTGTTTGAATTTTGCATAATCATGTTGTGTGATTAACTTCGGCTGGGTTGTGAGGAAGCCTGGGGTAGACTCGTTGTGAGGGAGCCCCCGTGTGGAATAGACATAGATGGGTGACATGACCAGATTGAAACATACCAGGCTTTCAAGGATCAAAGTTGGCTGCAGACCAAGCCGACAGAGGCTGCCGAAGCTGGAGAGCGAACTTGAGTAAACATAACAAAAAGGTGCCTTTGCTTAGCATTTCGACGCATACGGAAGCGCAGGCGCAAAGAATGAAATGTTTCATGCGACGCCCATAACTTAGGTATGACAGTATATTCCATTTCCAGGGCCCAGGGGATGATTATGGTGAGTAAAGACTTTTTTCAGTGACAATCCTTGACCGACTCTTTCGGCGCACTCCTGGCGCGATAAATTGGAGAGAAAGACGACGGCAACGTGCTTGCCCACCGCCCGCTGACCGGAAAAAGAGCACCGTATCAAAGCATATTGGTATTTAACATGGGAGACCTCCCCAAAGACCACCTGGGAGCTTCAGGAAATAGACCAGTCTACCCATAAGAGGGGAATTTCTCCCCAACCACCCCGGCCCTTCGGATCCCTTCGGTCTCATCCCGGTCCACTTGCGACGCATTGAAGTTGCTAATGCCAATGGCTCGCAGCACGCCCTGGCGGTGGTAGTCTTCGAGGATGGACCAGGCCTCCAACCGTTCGCCACGCGGGACCGACCGACCGGCGCGGTGCCGGCGGAAACGCAGGAGGCACCTTGGGGCAGTCGCCGATGGGGTCGTGGATCAGCAAAAGGTCGATGTAGTCCTCACCATCGACGCACTGGGCTCGTTTTTCGCCATATTGGAGGACCGTATTGGAGGTGCACGTATGGAGAAACAGAAAAAAGCATCAAAGCATCTCGTTTCGCCACGGAAACGCACATTCGTGCAATTGAAATTGCGAGCATTCCCCTCCGACCATGCAGGCTTCCCATGCACAGACCTTGTTGAACTATCTTACCATGCCAGGGCTCGAAGGTGCTCTGATTCTTAGCCAAGGTTCCGTTTTCAACAACTTCAGATCAGATTCGATGCTAAATTTCACACTGGGCACGATGCAGCTTGGAATCCTCGGGTCCATGACGCAAAGTGAGTCAAGAGAGGCACCACAAGAAGGGCAAAGGATGCACCTGATTCAGGAGGTGGGAAGTGGCAACGAATGAAACAGCTTCCATTTTGGCATGTCTGGAATGGCCCTTGTCTGGCCCCACAACCGTCTAAACTAGTGAGTCCAACATTGTTCCCCTCGCTGCCCAAAAGCTCCGCATGACGACCACGCTCAGGACGAGTAGTTTGAAGCCGCATAACAATAGATAAAGACTTATAAACATGTACGGTTTGTATGTGTTTGTTTTGAATGGCGTGTCCTTTAACTCTATGCTCGTGACCCTTGCGGGGCTCGTGGCATCCGGCAATTCTTCTTGCTACAACATCCTGGGGTAAGGTTTAGAACTGCTCCTACACCAAATGGCAGAGATCCCTTGCCAGTCCAACTGAAGTGGCCAAGGCATTTCCCTTGACAGTCGGATTTACGACACGTCTCTTGGTGGTAATGAAGACGTCCTTGCGATCAATGCCTGCCTTCGCCAGCTCCTGCACAGTCGGTGGCTGGATTGGCAACAAAGCAGCAAAGGCAGAAAGCAAGGGACAGTCTTGGTGCATAATGTGTGCATACATATATAGGTGTGTGTCTACATGTTATATACACACATATATACATTTTTTCTTACAATATAATACATGCACGTGTTAACACAGTACCAACGACTTCCGGGGAAAGATTGTAAGACAACCAGTTACGTAGGCTGGACACTCTCCTCTGGAACAACTTGTTGATCTTGGTAGATCAAGGCCTGGGCCAAAATACCCAGGCAGGAACTCTTTGGGTCGAGCTCTCTCCTTCGGAGCACCGGAGCGATGGATGTTTCACAGCGAAAACGGGCCGTGTCGATGCTGGGCCCCCTGGCTGTGTCGATGCCACGCCCACCTTGATTGATCCAGTTGGCCACGATTTCGGAGGCATTCGATCGTTCCAGCCCACCAATGCCTGGTCCAACAGTGGTCCAACAGGTGACTGGAGTCGGTGCTTCGAACCCTCTGCACATCGAACCACTCATCGAACCCTCAATGAGAACAGAACTCCCGTGTTGCATTCATTCTGATTCGTTGCCGTGCAAGGCAGAACGCAGCAGGACTCGGCAACTAAAAAAGTGCACAGGTGACATCAAAGGCCAGCTGACCTATGGACATCACAGGCATTTGAACGCCCTTGGCGATTTCCACTGTAGGGATCTTCACTTCGCATGCTGCCCATGGAAGCAACAGCAGCAGCCGCAAAAGCATGGCCGTTCGATCCGGAAAAACAATAATATGTTCCAAGAGTTTTGCGTCTCCCGAGCTTAGGGCTGCTCTTGGAGCCGAATCTTGCAGCATGTCACCGGACACGATTGCCAAGTTGCAAAATATGAAGAAGAAGAAGAAAAAGAAGAAGAAGAAGAAAAAGAAAAAACAAAAAAAAACATGAAAATATTGAAAGAAGGAACAAGGCCCCCTCTATTGTTCATCTCTGTTTTCTTCTTGCATCTTCATGCATGTTCTCATACCTCACGTCTGCAAACTTGCAGGGAAGAAACAGCTCTTCATCCCGGAGATGTTGCAATTTTACGTGGGCCGCGTCACAACTCAGCTTTGGCAAAGCCAGCATACCTGGGTACATCTGCAAGGTGCACAAGTCGGAACAAGACCGCAGGGCCTACTGTGCAGTTCGAGCATATGGTCGTGGGCTTGCTTACTCGGAGATGTCACCAAGGAAAAGCTCCTGGAGATCGCAACACGTTCTCGAAAGAGCGGATCTGGCAATTGGATGCAATCGGACAACCCTCAGTTATGAAAGCTCACCCTGCCCGTTTTGGCACCCAATGCCCTGATGTGTTTTCATAAGGAATATATGTAAATCAATAACGATGTATAGAGTGTGCTGTGTCCCAACCACATGTTTCTGGAACATGTGCACAGCCCAAATGTTTGTTTTGAAACCCTCACATCAATTGTCTGCAATGAGGATGTGATGTTGATTACTAGCATTCTATTGCTGCCAATGAGAAAATCTTGGTAAAAACACATCGTCGATGGAGCTGTTTAACTTTGATTGGTAGAACAACTTGGCAAGCAACTTCGTTGCAAAGTCAAGCTCGAGCTTGTGAACCTTGTGCTGTTTCCCCTGCAGCCTCATCAGAGTTGGAGATCCAATTGAGTCCAGAAAGTGTCTCAGCAAAGAACGGTCTATGTATCATAGTGATATTTGCGTGTTGGTGTGCAATTGTTGTGCCCTAGCTGTGATCTTCAAACCATACGCACAATGTCTGCATGCATCCACGCCTGAGCCGCTCTGCAGCCTGTAAACGCTTGTGCACCACATGCCACTGCCGGAGAGCTGAGAAGAGCTCAAAAGATGAGACAAAACCATCTGCCCTTGGTTGAGGCACAGAGTCATGAAATTGCCAAAGAGTGACGAATCACAACCGCTTAGTTTGATACGGGCAGCAGTCCAAGTATGCCATAGAATCCTACACGAGGTTTATTGAAAGTCAAGAGTTATTGGACAGTCACTGAAGAATGCCAGAAAAGGTGCATGCAAGCTTGGGCTATCTTCACCCTCTCACGGTTGCTGTGAATATGTGAACAATTGCACAGTATACTGTATACATGATTAAAACCAACAAATAAGCAATCACAGTATGCAGCTTGTTTATTCAATTGCCAAGATCAAAGTTCAGCAGTTTCTTGCGCAAACTGCTCGCTAAATGTGGTTAGGCAAATGTTGTGGTGGATGCAAATGCGTTGCAACAACCTTTCTATAAACACAGAAGTGAATCAAATGTTGCGGGTGTCCTGGATTCTGGCCTTGAGCAATTCGGCCTGCATCTCTTCAACCAGCGAGCTCTCAGGGCGCCAATCATAGAAATAATCCTGCAGGCTCACCATCTTCCAGGATCCAATGCCCTTTGTTGCTAGCAGCGACTGCCTCCAACCTACTTGCGATGGCCTCCACCTAACAGCGTCCTTGCTCCTAGTAGCAAGACTCGCCATATTCATGGTTTATTGAGATGCACACGACTCGTGGTTGCGATGAACACTTCGCTCGCCCCTGCCGGCCCTGGCCCCTCGCTTTGATTATGGAACCGAATATCGAGTCAAGCAAGACAACAAGGCGACCAAAACCGCACTCAGGCCACAAAGACCAAGATTACAAGCACCACAAAGTCGCGACAATGCTTGACAAACACGACACACTTAGATTGATGCTCGCAAGAGCTGATTCAGTGAAGGTAGTCCCCTTTAGTGAATACGATACCAGCTGCAACAGACCTTGACTGGCAAGAACTGAAAGAATGCTGGGTCGGTGTACCAGAAATGGTGAACATGGGTGAAACGAGGGGAGCTCGTTAGCATTTTTGAAAGTGTTAAAATTCCTGCAGGTACGTGACTTTGGCGTCCCGAAGTGGCACACACACAGAGCCGTGGTTCGGCGCGCTAAAGGGTTTCCGGGGAAAAACAAGATGTGGATGGTCCAGAGTCACGACCACCTGAATAGCCACCTAACAAGCCTTAGGAAAAAATGAAAGAAAGACAGAAAGAGCAAGAGGAAAAAGGCAAGAAGGAAAGATAGGTGTAGAGGACCACACATCTGTATCGGGAAACCGGTAAGTAATCGAGGCGCCACCCTAATAGCCACCTAACAAGCCTTAGAGAGAAAGGAGAGAAAGACAGAAAGGGCAAGAGGAAAAGGGGAAGAAGAAAAGATATAGAGGGCCCTGCATCTCTGCCGGAGAATGGCAAATTATCGAGGTAGAGCCTAATAACCACCTAGCAAGCCTTAGAAAGAAAGAACAACAGAAAGAGAAACCGAAGGGCAAGAGAGAAAGGTAGGGGTAGTTACAAAACCCACTAGTTACTGACTACTTAGCCGTCATGAATTATGTGCAAAAGTTAGCAAGCGGGACTTTAGTCTTAGACCGCCCGGGTAGGGTAGACTAGAACAGGGACAACAAAAGGAAAGGCACCAACACACAAGTGTGTTGAGTACGATTTCCTTCTGTTACCCTCACTTGAGAGGAGGGAGACACGAAAGGTAGGACAGCGGGAAGAGAAGAGAACGCGAGAGGCAGGAACAAAAATGCAATGTTCGACATGGTGATTTATCCGCTCGGAGGCGACCTTTCGTAAGTATATGTTCATATGCACTTTAAATGTTCAAACATGTGCTCTCGAAATGTTCAAAAAGATTCTTAGGAAAACAAACTTGCCCCATGGCTCAGATCATCGGTGAGCATTGAATCGGAACATCATCGGATTTGAACTATCCTGAAACCATAAGAGGCTCACGAAGACGCTCCGCAGGAGAGAATTGACGTGCTTCACAAAACCAACTCTAGGTATGTATCCCCTCGGGGAACACCTTTCGTGATTAGAATTTCATATTCACTCTTTCTGAATGTTCAAGAGGGTTTCAACTATCCTGAAATCATGAGAGGCTCATGAAAACGTTCTCCAGGAGAGAATTGATTTTAGAGGGTGGGAGGGGGGGGGGTCTGTATTGAAAAATCAATTCCAAGGGGGCCGGGGGGGGGGG